TCGGCGTAACGAAGAGAATCAATTTCCGAAATTAACGTCGAAGCGATTACGTATAGGATTAATTTAAATGCGAGCCGACATTTCGGAATGTGTGGACACATTTGCAGTCTCGCGATTTACGTGATATGTCCATAATCTATTCCTAGGAAATTAACTCCCAAACAATCTGTCGCGATTAATTGGAATTCGGAAAGTCAAATGCAGAGAAATTTTATACTGAAAAAAAAATGGATTGTACTAAATTTGTGCAATTGTTTGATCGAATCGTTGATTTAACAATTCTTTAGTTGCACAAAAAAAAGTATAGTTCATTCATGTTAACCATCAAAAATTTTTAATCAAGAATTAACTAAACCAACTCAATTAAATTATTTTGTTCAAAATACTAGTAATATTTATTTGTGTTTGCATGCTACTTAGTTATCCAAGTAACATATTTGTTCAAATTCCAAGTATCAAACTGACTAAACGACGCTGATGGGGATAACAAATAAAGTGTATTTTTAATCGAACGGTTAAATTAAATACGATAAATTTTGGTTGAGACAAAATAGTTTAGTTAAAAAATAGTATTTTGTTTATAATAGTAACAAATTATTTTGTGTCATCGCAGTAACGTTTACTTGAACGTATCGGACAAAATATTCTGGTAAAATAAAACAAATTTTTTTCTCTAGTGTATGTTTTAGAAAAATTATTAACGTTAATTCGTTATATATATAGTTCAATAATTCGCGCGGTGATTCGTCATATATTGTAACACAATATACAATGCACGGATATACGCGGTCCATTGTACACAGAATCCATGCGTCAGTGCTTTCGATTGAAATTATCTGTCGCTGCAGAGTGACGAACGATCGCGTCGAATCGATCCTTCATCTCGCCCGGACGCTTCCACGTCCTAGCCTAGACAATTCGCGAAGGGAATTCCTGCGTCGCATGAGTGATCGGCGACGGTGAGGACAGATCTCCCCGAGATCTGCCTCGTCTTCGCCTTCGCGGGAGTGCAGTAGTTTGCCTTGCGAATTCGCGAGATATAGACGCGCCAGGAATTGCGTTTATATAGCGATGCCGGAGGAACGAATTCATTGGAGCATCAATTATCCTCGTCCGCGCGTCCATCTCGCAGTCCTCGACCGCGCTTATATACGTTAGCGCGCAGGGGGAAAAAGTAGAAATATTTCCAATTATGCAAATGTGCGAGTCGAGCGAGGAATCGACGATCCACTTTGCTCGGAGTGAAACGAGTCTACCGTACGTCTGCCAGGACGCGGGGCGGAAACTTCGATCAAAAGCGAGAGACGTCTCGGTTCCTTTTTTACTGCTAACAATTACGACGCTCTGTTAAGATGCTATTAATAAAAATTACGCCGGCGCGGCAGGCTTCCCTTGTAAACTGCAAAAGTTTTATCTTGTATATACTTGCGCACTCACAGAGGCGCATTTATCAAGCGCCACATTCATTTCTTCAGCCTTTGATAGGTATATGAAAGATGTAGCGGATAAGAATCGTGTTAAACGCAAGGGAAAAAAGGAGTCGGTTAATTAAACACATTTTGTTCCTGTCACAGACATTATTGCGCGCATTTGCCCCTTCCTTTTCCATCAAACTTCATTAAGGATGATTACCGTATATCTTTCTCGCTCTCGGAATTACCGCGTGAAGCCGATGAAAAAATAAATATTACCCGGAGCCTGACAGCCCTGCCATGATTGGAATATTACTCGATAGCCGAGGGTTAAGCTGAGCGCTAGTTACTCGGGATCTCCTTCAATTAGGCAGGAAATGGAGTTGCACGCCGAAGAACTAATTCGGGCTCGGTGCGCGAAGCGAAGTGCACTTCTGTTACGCGTACACCTGCGTACACGGAGATGTTGGATTATCACTCGACGCTCACGACACTCGAGTTAAATTCGATTTGCTCGATCGTTAATTAGAAAATTGCGTTCAATTAAGAGTTATTATCCCATCCGCCGTCCGTGCGTTCGCGTGCAAATCGCAGCGCACGCCTTTCCTCCTTCTCGCTTTTCCCTCCCTCTCCCTCTCTCTCTCTCTCTCTTTTTCTCTCTCTCGCTCCGTGTCGCTTAAAATAGCCGGAGAATTTTCACGGGGCTGTATCCAAGCTCCGCTCGCGTTCACACGCGTGCGCGTCGTTGCGAACTTGTGTACATACAAAGGATATCCTGCAGGAATTACGAGGGATATAAAGTGCAGTTTAAATTTAAACCTTGACGCCTGTAACGTCGCTTTGCTCGCATTCATATGTAACGCGGCTGTGTTGAGAACTCGACTGGATTATCAGAAAGCATGCCTTTTTATAAAGAAATTTAAAAAAAAAAGGAGAGCTCGTAATTCTAAACCGCCGACGCTCTTTGCGTCTTCATTGTTCTATCTAAAAATAGTCCACTCAAAAATTTTGAAAGTGAATTATAATTAATAAAACACACTATGGATATTTCGACGGCGATTATTCTGGTTCTCTGTTCTCTCCCAGTTTATGACATCATTAAGAATAAGATTTTGCCAGGTAAAATCTTATTGACTCACAGGTAGGTCTAAATTTAGATAGTGTTTTCCGGTATATTATTTTTGCAAGTATATCATCCAGGAAAGCGGATCACAGCGTGAACACAGCTATCTTGACTACCAAAAATTATGCGTTCGAGATATCCACATTAATAGGGATATACTCGCAAGGGTCAGTCGTAGCTCTGGAATGGAAGAGACCTCGCCCTGGAGAATCACCGCCTTCGTCGATCATGATAATCTCAACGCCAAAGCTTAATGCTTTTCATCTTTGTTTAAGTCTTTTTATTAATTTAGGTGTAGAATCTTGAATATGAGAAAGATTTACAAACTATTACACGATGTAGCGTTAAGTATTTGAACAAGTAGCTACACAATTTTAGAAAGTGCTGTTCTACACGGAAAGAATTTTTTTTTAAATTTAATTTACCCTGAAAATCATGTTAATTGTGGGACAATATAGTATTTAGGCAAATTTTACTGTAGTAAAATACTTATTGTAGTGCACAGTAAAATTTCCCTAAATACTATATTGTTCCACAATTAACATGATTTTCAGGATAAATTTAAAAAAAATTCTCTTATTATATATAAATTATACACATGTAATATTTTCATACTATATTTTACATACATACATACATATTTTTTATACATGTATAATATTTTTATAATATATTTGATTTTAATTTTAGTATTTCCGGATAATCCTTTTGCTAGTTCCCTGAAAGCCCTTGCGAGACACTTACCCCCTACCATTCGTCAGCTCCCACCCTATAAAATAGCATCCCTCCAAAACTGTCCAGTAGTTCGAATACTTAACGCTACGTCGCGCAACGTCTGTAAGTCTTTCTCGTATTCAATATTCTGTTTCCAAACCTATAAGAAGGCTTGAACGCGGCCGAGAAGCATACTTACCTGGCGTAGAGGTTACCGTGATCATGAAGGCGGTTCCTCCAGGGCGAGGCTCTTCCATTGCACTACGGTTGGGGCTGACCCTTGCGAATATCCCTAATGTGGATATCTCGGACGTATAATTTTTGGTAGTCGGGACT